ACATTGACAAAACGTCGGCAAATAAGTATGGTACAATCCCCGTCTGGGAGTTTCAAGGTTTAATAAAATATGTCACCCAATGCAGCCCAACACCAATATAGGCATACCACTGATATGCTCCAATTAGCCCCACTTGCAGTCATCGGTCTTATTATCAGCCTGCTTCATATCTATCCGGCTTCGTCATGGCCTGCAAATGCCTGCAAACTAAAAACGAAGAACCACAAAATACCTGCAAATGGCAAATTTCCCCTTTTTGTCCAGGTAGATTCATTTAGTTTCACAAGATGCCCTGTTGATCTCATGTTCACACTGATGGCGGAACATGCTGAAGCAAGCACACGTGAAGAAGGTTGTGTTGTTTATATGTTTTTTGGGATTAAGAACTGTGATGTCTCGTCGTTTTTGTTTTGTAAACAAATGCATTTGCTAGACTGTACCGGTACATGTGCATGGTTTTCACCTCCGCATATCAAAATTCACCTGTGTTTCCCTGGCGGGCGAGAAAGTACACTTGAGAGGGAAGGGTGAAGGATCGAAAGGTAGGTTTGGGTTGGAAGAGGAAGGGAACCAACTTTTTGAGAGCGCATATTCTGACATGCAGCGACTTGACATGTGCTCCTGTACCTGGGTGTCATACAACACAGCCAGGTAAAGGCGCATGACACACTCTCCAGAAAAGTTCCTTCAAAACACTTTGTCAATGTAGCATCTGTCTACGGCTGTCAGGTGTGTTGTAGAGCAGCTGCTGTACAACTATGAAGAGTCGGTCCCAGCGCCTATATACTGTTACGCATGACTCGGTGCAATTCTTTTTTGCCAAAGAAATGGCCGGTGCAAAGTCAGTGATATTGTTTCGGCACATGCGTCCAGAATCGTATTCCTGCGTGGTGTGTTGCGGCCGTGCATTGCTGCTGTGACTCAGGATCGGATACGGGCTGACAATAAGCGGCATCGAGGTGAATATGTGCCTCGGCACTGTTCTGTGGACGCCAGTGCGTGCACAGTCTGTATGTCTACATTGGCACCATTGCATGCGTGCAGTGCTGTCTCTCTGAGGACTGGCGCCCGGAACCGTGTGAAAGTTTGCCACTAAGCGCAGCCCTCCCTGTTGGTCAGCTGACGACTGGTTCGCGAGCAGACTTGGCTGCACTTTGTTATTGGCAAGTGTGTATTCACAGTGCTTTTTCCTGCCATTTCACATCTGTGAGTTTACATGCTTTTCCTCTTCTGTTAGGGGCCATCTGTTTCGTGCCTGTGGCCACGACCCTATTCAGGTCTCAGCTGGTGCTGCGGCTTGAACCAGCACGGCGTCTGCTCCGGTGACCTTTCATGTGACTGGTTTGCACCTATGCTTCGTGACACTGTGCGCAGGGCAGCTGCTCATGAGTTTTGCTTTCGGCTTCCCCAGCAACGGGTTTGCGCAGATATAGGTCAGGGTTGATCGGAAGAGACTCAAGGCATGTGAGTTGCATTGTATCTGTATGGGCATAGACATCTTGATATATACCGGCGGCTGTCCAGCTGTACTCATGTCTTCTCTTTTCACCACGGCAATGTAACCCTGCCACGGGGGGCTGCGATCCCAGGTATACCAGTGGCACAGTCTGCTGATGAAGTGGCCGCTGACCAAGGGTTCCAATGCACAGCTGTGCCGAGGCCAGGGCAAAGGCCATGCCACGGCCGAAGGTGCGGCCGCAGCATGCCAGTCCGACACACAGTGACCGATAGACATGCAACTGGTGCACTAAAGCGAGTCAGGGGTATGTTCTTGCTCTCATCTGCGCACGGGCGCCACGCCCAGGGGATTCGCGGCCCATCACTGCCTTCAGCTGCTCTGCTCAGTTCTCGGTCTGTGGGCGGGGGGAAGCGCTTCGTGCTCACCTGTGCGTGAAACGTGGCCTGTTGGTCATGATTGGCTCTGGTAAGATCTGTTGCCTGTAACGAGATCTACTTGATTCATACTGTCACGACAGCAATTGGTTTGATCAGCATATCACGACCTGAGGGTAGCACTCTGGAAGGTGGAGCCTGCATGGGGAAGATCCAGTGCCGCGTGCCGTCGCTAAGTCAGCAACAGCGGCACACATGCTTGACGTCAGCTAGAGTTGCATTTTCTAGTCATCACTGTAGCTTGTCGACAGTAAATGGTTGCTACAGTCAGTGGATGCTTCCATTCAGTGGTTGCGGGGCAGCTGCTCTTCTTGCCCCCTACCATCTGCACAGGCAGTTGCGCCGTCGAGGGATCACGGGCTCGGCCGTTTCCTGACGTCACTTGGGCCACTAGACTTGCACGGGATGTGGATGGACCGCAAAACACCGTAGGGCGCCAGAGTTATCATGGTGCTTAAAGTGGGCATGAAAAGCACATTAGTACTTGGTGGGGAGTTTGCGGCTGCAGCAGGCTCCGTGCTAATGCTTTCAGTCAGCGTAAGTGTGCCCATTCCTCTCAGAAACCGATGACAGTGAGCTCCTTCCTTTTGGGATACGGCGAGTGCTAGCTGCTTTGTGACTTCTTTTCTAGGAGCGCTCCTGCGCATGTGCTTCTGTGCCGCTGAGAAGCATCTTGCGCTGGCGCGCATTGGACGAAGGCCTCGAGATGGCACCCGACGGCACCGTGTCCGCCGGCTTGGAAGTGTTGGCGACACGCCTTCAGTTGTTTGGCACGTGGTGTGCTAGCCCGAAAATTGTGCGCTGAACATGGGGTCTGTGATCCTAATGTTGTTTCATATGTGAAGCACACACACACATCCCATTGGATTCATTGGCAGTATTTAAGCCGGTGATCGCAATTTCATCCTGTGAGTCAGATGATTGCACCGGTGATATTATATTGCTCGCAAAAGCATATCTTTGAAAGGTAGTTGCCTGGTACCGCACTATATTGTGCGTTGCTGCCCGAATTCTACCATATGGCCATTGGAGCCACCATAGTTCCTGACAGGGCACTACCTGCAGGTCTCATAAGCCAGTTCCTGCCCAGGCGCTGTTGCAGCTCCGTTTCCTGCAGCGTCATGTACAGATGCTTCTTGACTGCAGAGCTCTTTTGGATGAGTGGGTGGTTGCCAATAGAGAGCCGTGCGAAAGCTGTGTCCTGATCATTGGTTCGCCAAAAGCCGGGAGAGTGAGAAGGCCCATGCTTCCTTTTGCTGATATATTGTTCTGGAATCCGATTGTTTGAATTGCTCCGGCGCGCCGGTGGAGGTCTGACCTCGAACGGGTCGTGCGTGGCGACCAGAAGCAGCGCTTCGGGTTCTGGCGCATGGGCAACACCCATCGCCTTCGGGCACATCTTCAAAGGCCCTTGCAGAGGCTCCAGTATATTTGCCGGTTCCATACTGTCCTGGTATTTGGTGGGGACGTGTTATTTCTTGAGGCTGATGTCCTTACACGTCCCTGGGCAGGTGCTCAAAGATGAGACGTTTCTCGAACGCATCGACGGGCCGGAAGAACTGCCAATCTGCACCTTGTCCTGCAGTCATATTTTGTGCACAGCACTATACCGATTCAATTCGCTGGACAGGAAACATTTTACAGATGCGGTCAGGTGTTGCTTTATCTGTTTTTTTCC